GGTGACACCACATGTTTTTCCAAGCTTCCCTTTTCTGAATAGGAGGCTTTTATCCTGCTCACCCTAGTCTTGCTCTTCCACAGTTTATTAGTGACAGGGAGAAAAGAGAACTTGAAGTTTAACTTATAAGCAGCTGAGTATGAGAGTCAGATCTGGACCTAACGAAGAGAACTGGACTTATAAGCAGAGTTTCGAAGCTCTGAATTCTGTGATGGGACCCAGGCTGGGGTGAGCACATTCCACGGTGGGAAGAAAGCAGCAGGCGGGCACTGGCCTGGCCAGAGGGAAAACTGGTACTGTAGGAGCTCCAAGGGATTCTCCACTTTCCTTAGGAAGTAGGGTACACAGGCACGTGGCTGCCCAGAGGGACCAGATTTCCCAGTCTTCTGCACAGTGACAGCCTGGTTAAATTCTTAACCACACCATGTGAACAGAAGTGACAATTTCACTTCCAGATCTGGGACTCTAGACCTTTGTGTTCTCGTTTCCTTAGGTGCCAGCTGGGACCTGTATGTGGTGGCAACCTTGCTTCAACTACACTGACAATAACAGTGTTCTAGGAGGTTGCAGAATAACAACCAGGAAGGAACTGGGTTAGAACAGAAGAGATAAAGATAGGTAGAGGGGATACAAAGAAACTCATTTTTTTTGGTTCCCCTCATTTCCTTAAATTTCTGGGGCAGAGCTGGGCTCAGCCCTGAAGGTGAGCCTGCCAATCGCACAGGGAGTCTGTCCTGTAAGGTTCATTAGCCCTACATTTACTCAGGCTCCCTCAGGGCCCCTCAAGACTGAGGATACTAGAATAACAGTGACTAAAGTGATGTTCAAAGTCTCTCAAATGCCAGCTTTCACAAGGTCCAACTGTACACCGCCCTGGAACAAGGCCTTAAAAGTCTTCAAACTGAGGACACCTCAGATTCCAGGAAAAGCTGAGCCTTGCAAACCATCCTCTGATGAGGTCACTACTCCCCAAGCAGGAGCAGTTACCCCATGATGAGAACCACGGCTGCCCACTCCCAGGCAAGGATAACATGGAACAGCAATGCCCCTCAAGCCGTAAGAATTTCGCCAGAGCAGTGTGTAATAGTTGCTAAGGTATTCTTTGTGTGTGTGTGTGTGTGTGTGTGTGTGGTACCGGGGATCGAACTTGGGATCTTGTGCTTTCAAGGCAGGCGGCGGAACCACTCAGCTAAATCTCACCCCTGCAGTGTGTAATAGTTAACTGTGTCATCCTGAATAAGAAACACCCAACTAAACTGGAGCAGCACAGTTCTGGGTGTGACTGAAGGCACGTACTGAAGACAGGAGACCCACCCAGGGTGTGAGTGGCACCGACCAGCAGGCTTGAACCCTGAATGGGGTAAAGGGGCATGAACAAGGAAGGCTAGCGTCTGTGTCTTCGAAGAGCTCCAGTCTTCACCTTCACCTTGGACGGCGTCTCCTGGCTTCCAGCGCAGACCCCTCGGCCTCCTGCTATGGACTTGAAGGGGACACTATACTGAGCTCCAGGCCTTCAACCCTTGACTGGATCCTTCGGATCGCCAATCACAGCCCTTTGCACACTTTCACAGCTGACTCTGTGGGCAGCCATTGTAAGCCTACCTTGTAAATCCTAATATATTTTTATATCTGGCATTAAATCTGTTTCTCTAGTGAACACTGACATACTATGGAACCAGAACTGAGATAATGATCCACTGGATCCCAGCCCACCTCAGCTAATCCTTACCAGCCAGCTCCATGCTCTTGTGAGTGGGCCAGTTTGAACCCCTGGACCACAGTGCACCCCCACCAGCTACTTCAGCTAGACTCTTCCTGTTCTCTTACTATCTAACTCTGCCTAACTGTGCTATGCCTCACTCTGATGTGTCCCGAAATTCTTTTTCTGTGGCGGTGGTCAGCCACCACCTACTCCATGACGGGAGGGAGTTGAGGTCCCTGCTCCTCTGTGGGGGACCCCCTTGGACTCCTTGCTGTAACAGAACCACTGTCCCAAGAGACCTCAAGGAGAAAAGCTGCCTAATCAGTCAGGACTGTCCATGAGGAGGCTACTCTCTAACAGAAAACCCAAACCATTGTTTCCTTCTATGTGCTACTCGAGTGTTAGGTCTTTTTGTTACAGAGGCTGCACCATACGGTTGATGTCAGAAATTCACCTGTTCATATACCTTTGACCTCTGAGGAAGTTGTGCGCATGCATGTGTGCACACCCTGTATTTCCACTAAATAAAGCTGAATTACAGAAAAACCTTGAGAAGCTAGGATAGAAGACAAATACATAGTCTGTTCCTGGCACAGAGCTTCCAAAGCCATTAGAATTTCTTGAGTGACAGGAGTGTCATTGGTTACTCAGAGTTAGGAGCTTCTTTGGACTACACCAGGGTCTATGCTGATGAGGTGAGGACCCTAGGTAGCCTCAGGATGGGGTGGCCAGGAAGGGCCAACGGTGGGCGCAGAGAGCAGGAACTTCCCGCCCTACCCCTGCCACCAGGGAGGGAAGGGGGTGGAGATTAGGTAGTAACAGTTCTGCCAGTTGGTGAATATGTCCAAGCGCCGAGAGAGGGGCATGCCCAGAGAGCTGCTGGAGGGCTATGTATTTTCTGCCCTTTCCTCCCTCTTCTCCCACCCCAGATCCATTGAAAGTTACAGGAACCAAGGGAGATTATGTAAAGGTGCAAATTTCCAACGATGAATGTTATTATATTGTATACCTAAAATGTACCAATAAAATAATATTTAAAAAAAAGAAAGTTATGGGAGGGAGAATTTCAGGATTCTGAAACACCAGTTTAGGTTTCTGCATGGACATATGTTACATTGAATGAGAAACTACAATTTTGATTTAGATTGGGTGAGACCTTTTAATAGCTAACAATGAGATTATCTATTGGTGTTTCTTAAGCACTTAGAAAAACCAAGGGAACTGCCTGAGTTATTATCCAGGGAAAAAGAGAGATACCTAACAGCACACTTAAAAACCAATAGAGAGGTCTGGGGATTTGGCTCAGTGCCACCACGCCTGCCTCACAACCACAAGGTCCTGAGTGTGATCCTGGTACCAAAAAAACCCAAAAAACAAACAAAACAACAAAAAACCAGTATAGAGAGAAGTTGGAGGTGTAGCTCAGCGGTAGAACATGTACTCAGGACATGCAAAGCTCTAGGTTAAAACCCTTCCTCCCCTAAAAAAGCAGTAGCAAAAGAAGCAAGTAGCTCCTTCTGCTTGTACCTACCATGCGTAGCTCATTCAACACTGGGCTGGACCAGGCCTGGGTGGTAATGCTTATCTGTCTCTCCATCACGCTCAGCCAAGAGTCACAGGGAACCACTGCCACTACACCCATTTTCAACAGCAATGTGGTGTGGCAGCCACAGCAAGAACAAAAACCTGAGCAACTCTGTCCAGTTTTTCCTTTCTTCAAGGCCACAAAAATTAGACCAAGCCCTTAAAGTGACAGAGCACCAGAGGTTCAGGGCTTAAAGTGAGACAGATGAACTGGAATATTCAAAGAGATCCTTTGCAATGCTACTCTCTTGACTTGAACTGCCGAACTCCAGACTTCTCTTTTATGTGAGACATAAACTTAATTCTTATTTCCACCTAATCCTTTCTGTTACAATGTCCGCAAAACATTAAACACTCTTCTAAATAAATAAAGATAAACAAATTTAGAAAGCCTGGCCAAAGGAGACCAGGCAGTTCACACAAGAAAAGTCACTAACTGTATATTCGAATATGTTCAGTACCAGGCTTAACAGTAACCCCCAAAATGTAGATTTAAAAAATGAGATGCCATTTCTTAGTTATCAGGTTGGCAAAAATTTTTAATATGAATTCTATCTAGTTAGAAAGGGTCCAAAAAAATAGACAGTCTCATTCAACACTGATGGAAATTTAACTTGGAAAAGTGTTTTTAAAAGATGGTTTGGAAAAGGGTATGAAAATCTGAAGTGTGTACATCTGTGTGTACACCTATGTGTATGTGTGTGGAAGTCCAGAAAAAGACCTGGAAGAACATATAACAAACCAAACAGTATTTCCACTTCTAAGAAGAGGGGCAGCATCTGAAAGCATAGTATTAGGTATTATTAGCGGACTCCCCTTTTTAGCAGGACTAATTTTTTTTTTTATGACGCTGGGGGTTGAACACAAGGCCTTCACCCTGAAATATATCCCCAGTCTTTTATATTTTAAAATTTTGAGACAGGGTCTTGCTAACTCACAAAGTTGCTAAGTCTGGGCTTGAATTTGTAATCCACCTTCCCTACCCTTCCAGAGTATGATTATTGGTACACATGACAATATTGGGCTACACATATATTTGGGAGGCTGAGACAAGAAGATTGTGAGTTCAAGCCCAGCCAGCCTAGACTACAAAATGAAACCTTGACTCAAAAAAGCTTTATGCACATATATTATTTTTTGTAATCAAATTCTAAATGAATGTAAGTTTTTAGAATATTAAAGAGATAAAAATATTTTATTTATTTCTTTCCCTTAAGACAGATGTATTAGGCATTGAGCAGGCACAGTCTATTCAAATTTAAGTAAATTTTGGCAACTGAACTCTATCTTAATATAGGTAGGAAGTACAGGATTTCACAGTCCCATAAAGAGTGCTTTCTTAATTGGCAAAATCATAAGGACAGAACGATGTTTTATATCCCTGGACATGACTGAATAAGGCTTATTTTTAGTAATAAATATAAAAAAGTAATTTTAGGTACAGTATTCTGAAATAAAGTTTAGATGGATTTTCATTTTTTAATAAAAATAATGAATTCTATTAATTAGGCTTTTTCTTTCCTTTTGGCAGAGACTGTCTTAAATTTTTAAGCCTTTTCCAAGGCAGTAACCCTCTGCCAACCCATACTGATATATTTGTCTGTTTCAGACCAGAATTAATTGAAAAAAGTAAGTCTTCCAAGAAATCTCTTTTTGAAATCCCAAAATTGTCAGGAAAAAGTAGGCCATTTAAAAGATAAGGAGACATTCTTACTTGGTCCTCAAAAGACAGAGCCTGGGCAACATCCCGTGGAAACCCATCAATAACGATTCCCTCCTCGTCGGGTATCTGCATCAATTTTTGTTTTATTTCTGTAATCGTTGTTTCCTTTTATAAACAGAAAAGATGAGAAACCACAGTTAAAATTAGTACCCTCATAACTGGTATCAACATTTTTTGCACAAAAGCAGCAAATCAGACACCAGTACCTGTGGGGCCAGTTCACCGTTGGTAATGATCTTGGCAATGAGGCTCCACTTGCGGTTGCTGCTGGCGCTGTGGATTTTCTTTCTCAATAATTCTCCAACTGAAATGTACTGGAATCCATAGCGTTCTGCGATTTTCAAACTCTGAGTACCTTTTCCACTTCCAGGACCTCCTATTATTCAAAAGAGGCAAAACGGTGACCTTCTGACACAATACGGAGCTCCTTTTAGACAACTACTACTGAGATGGGGATTCTGTACCACACATACTCTGAGGTGAGTACCAGGGTGGGCAGATGTTGGGTTTGTGTTCTCAGGGCCATGTGAATGCAGAGCAAGAGCAGATTGAGAGCCAAGGAAAGGCTAGAATTGCCTTATTAGGTGAAAGAAACATTTTTCTTTACCTGTTTTAGTAAATAAATGACTGGGCTGGGGATGTAGCTCAGCAATAGACCACCTGGTGAGCATGCGCAAGGTCTTTGGTTGGTTCTTGAGCACCCCACACGCCAGTGCATGCATATGCTCAGCACAGACTGTCATGCACATGTGCACAGAGCTAATTTAAAAATTGCGGGGAGGGCATTCAGGATGTAGCTCTTGGTAGAGTCCTGCCTAGCATCCGTCAGGCCCTGGGTTCAATCTCCACTATCCAAAAACTTTTTTTTAAAACAATGTAATTGGAAAAAAAACTTTGACATTTTTCGATGTAAAAATCTATTAGTTTTCTGCTCTATAATCAAAGAAAAACCTATGGGACACAAAAGACAATGATCAAACTAACAGAAATGTGTATCATGCCATAAAGAATTAATGTGCAAACTGGTGAAATGTAACTTTTTTTAAAATCAAAGGCACACCAATAGTGACAGTTTATTTAAATCAGTTTATTCTGAAATCTGTTTACTCATGCATATTCTTGCTTATTTCCTTTGAATTCAAAAGTTTTATGCAATGAATCTGCAGAATGAATGAAATAGGTCTTCTAGGTAGAAAAACTTCATATAACTAAGAACTTTGAGTGTGTGAATGATACATTAGTATGAAATAATCAACATTTTGCAACATTACTCAACACTAATGAGCAATTGCCATTTATGTTTTTTTTTTTGGTACCAGGGATCGAACTCAGAATCTTGTGCTTTCGAGGCAGGCGGCAGAACAACTGAGCTAAGTCCCTGGCCCACCATTTACTTTTTAAAAACATAAATAAAATAATCAAAAT